GGCGCCACAGACTGCCACGTCATGATGGATTCCGAAACGCCTCCACATTTGGTTCACGCTACACGTCGCGGCAAGCTGCCTACGTACTCTACGGCCACACCGGCGCTGCTTGTGAGCTGGCTTGTGAGGCGAGACGGTGGCAGCGGTGGGATTCAGGGCCCGACTGGCCCTTCTCTGTGGCACGCTGTCGAGTCGGCAATCACCTTTTACCGTGCATTCATATGTTTTTCATCTATTTCACCACATGGAAATGACTCCAGGACGTAGACGACGACGACGACGTCTTCCGTGTGGATGGATGCGACCACGTACCGTATGCAACCGAGGCGGCACCGCCGGACCTTGGCCCGCGAGTGGCTAATATCACGCTCACTTTGATGCTGGCAATCGCCGCTACGTACAAGTCGTCGCGTCTGCACTGGGAGGGACGTCACGCGTCGATCCCTGCGGCCTCGGTGGACGTCCACACCTCAGTACATCCAGATCCAAGTAAATGGCTCGTTTCTGTGCTATTGGCGTCCATTTTTGTCGTACGATGCAGTGTTCTTCGAATGATGGTTCTACATCCATTGCGACCTAGGAGACAACCTAGGTTTCGACACTATCGAAATGCTCTTGTTCCGGCGGCATCAACCCATGGCACCAACTAGCGCCACGAGGAGCCTTGGGCTGTTTCATCAGTACTACAACTACCGGTGGGCGAGCTGTGAATGAGCGCGCGACCATCAATTCGTTTGTTATTCGAGAGTTCGAGCGTTTGGATCATCGATAGCCAACGAGAAAACCGCCAAAACAGCAAAATGCAGTCGGTATAACTATTTTGCTGTCAGAATGTGGTTGCGCGCAGATAACATGACATAGCATGGTCGTTGTCGTCGAATGTATCGAGGCCAAGCGCGCCCCAAGCTTTGCCAGATGAAGCTGAGCCACGCAAGGGCGGCTCTGATGGCTGCAGTGTGAACTACAACGGACAATCAAACTGGTGGAGAAAGCAACTCATAGGAGTGAGGTGCATTGACAAGCGCTGTCTTGGCTATGCAAGTCTCCGCTACAAGTCGAGCAAATATGAGTACAATGATGTATTCGCCGCCGTTAGCCGTACTAGTACGCGATTCGAGGAGTCGTGTCTTGGGCTCTAAAACGTGTACTCGTACGGGCTCCCGATGTTGCTGTACAACTGCGGCACTTGGGCGCTCACGGCTGCCGAAGTTGATCGACTCGGAACCTTCCACCGGCAACAACGGCGTCAACTAATCGGTGCTTACTACCTGCACCGCAACTCGAACGGCGCTTCGTATAACGCTGCCAGACCAAGCCGCTTCGCTTCCGGCTCGCTCAAGCTCGGTGAGGCCTTTTTGGTCACATCCTTCGTAGCTCGCCCGACATCCTGGCCAAGCTCGCGATGCGTGAGTATTTTGGGCGCTCAGGCGCTGCCGCGTGTGCTCGACGCCAATCTCATCGCAGTCCCATCTTTCGCGAAGCGCCTCACGCCCCGCGCTGACCTCATGGCCCTCACTGAACTGTATATGGTGGTGGACTAGCGATTCCAAGGTGCTACGACGAGCCGGCCGCCGAGATGCTTAGCCGAGCGGGAGACGTGGCGTGTAAACGGCACATGCCGGAACAAGGTTGTCGCGTAGCCATGCGTCGTGACGCAGGGCTGTCATCATTTGGAAGAGGCACAATACTTGAGTGTTCAGCAGCAAGTGTTGGAGGTGCAGCTTGGTTAAGAACGCGGCTCGTTGGGCGGCAGCCGCAGGCGTCACAAGGGGCGCCTCGGGGCGAAATACTCGGTCGTTGCGGGCAAGCCAGACGGTGTGAAGCGCGCACGCGCGGAGGATCGGCCACATCATGGCCACGGCGCGCCGACGGCTGTCACCAGCGGTTCAAAGAGGAGCGCGGAAAGCGTCGTGGGAAGTTCGAGCTCGAGGGCGTCGACGAGCGGCTGAAAGACCGCCCACACGGCAGTGACAAATTCGCAACGAAGCAGAAGATGGTCGTACGTCTCGAGGTCGCCGCAGACGGGACAAACTTGGGCGTCATCGGCCAGAAATTAGAGCCGGGAGCGGATCGCGACGGCGCCAAGCACCACACGGTACGTGAAATCGGCGTATCTCGGCAGGATGTGCTCGGGTTGGCGGTACGCGACTGCTGCATCCACCATGGCCGGCGTGGCATAGTGGTCGTCGGGGAGCTGCAGATATCTCGTAGGGAGGGGGCACTGGGCCGCGACATCGTGTCGGCGTCGACAAGCGTGGCGAGTCGTAGCCGTAGCCAACGCGAATAAACGTTATATCTACATATATATCTAAGTGGCAACTCAGACAGAAGCAGAGTCGAGCACGCGCACGGGTATGGGCCGTTTCCAAGCAGTGGAAGAGGTTTTCCGCGAAAGGACGAGCGATCTAGAAGACCAGTTACAAGTTCGAACAAAAGCCAAGACCCAGGCGCAGAGCACGCGAGCTCAAGCCATTTCCAAATTGGTAGTGTCAGTCAAACAACTAACCCGCCTCGCCCACCACAGGCATGGCGGAAACCAACACGGTTGTTGCCCCCAAGTAGTTCGGTCTTGATTGAGGAAACAATAGTACTGCCAGCCAGAGCCAAGTGATCAATAATTGATCACGACGAACGTTGCTTCCGATGCCGTCGCGCCCTACCTTCCCCACACCACGATCTAGCACGGAAGCTCGGTTCGCGAAGCCCAGCCACAGCCGGATAGCACCAAGATCTGGGAGCTTGCCCATGCGAATCGCGTACTAGTACGGCTAATGGCAGCGAATACATTATTGTACTCATATTTGTTCGACTTGTAGCGGAGACTTGCATAGCCAAGACAGCGCTTGTCAATGCACCTCACTCCTATGAGTTGCTTTCTCCACCAGTTTGATTGTCCGTTGTAGTTCACACTGCAGCCATCAGAGCCGCCCTTGCGTGGCTCAGCTTCATCTGGCAAAGCTTGGGGCGCGCTTGGCCTCGATACATTCGACGACAACGACCATGCTATGTCATGTTATCTGCGCGCAACCACATTCTGACAGCAAAATAGTTATAC